AACATCTGATACCCTTTCTCATTTCGGTTCACAAAGTTTACAAATTTTTGTTGTATTCTCTTGTACTTTAACATCTGCTAACATAATTCAAATATCAGGAAGTATCTGAACTTTGATACCTGATAGTTGTTCAACAGACATACTTCTGACACAATATTAGAATGTTCATAAATTCACACTTAATCCAATTCAAAATAAAATCAACACAAATTCCAATGTCATGAAGAACACAAATTAAAATCACAAATGCATCTTTCATCTCAAAATCGTAAATATTACAATTTGTCTGAAGATTTTGGCAACTATTCAATCAAAGGTAAAAAAAAATGATCATCATGGCTTCAATTCCTACATAAATAAATACAACTGCTACCTTGCATATTGTTTATATTACGGTAATTATTCAATAGTTATGTCTTCACCTGTAGATGGAATTTTACAATACTTATAGTCTAAAAATAAATTGACAATACCACATGAAGTTGGACATAGGCCATGTTGAGAAAACTATCTTTTCAATTTTATTACTTCACTTTCCTGAAGCTCATATAACCACCACAGAAAAACATTACAACTATTGAGAAATGGGATTCAGGGTTTGCATTATATACAACATAATGTTATCTTGAACCTAACATGATTTCTTTTTTCATTCCTCTGATTGAATGTCAGGTCACAAATATATAAGTCATTTCAAATTAAATCTTTTTTGAGAAGACCAAATGCAAAATTATCAAATTAAACTATTAAATGAATAAAATTATTTTTATAACATATTTTATTTGTATGTTACTGATAAATACTGTTTAATCTATGAGTGCTGGGGTAAAGGAATAAAAAAAAATAATGTTTTAAAAAAGCTGAGGTTTTTACAACATTCATATTATTACTTTTTTTTTTAGCACATTTCATTTTCAATGGTGTTTCATGTTCTATCTCTTTTCAATTCTAACTTTGTGATTAATTTTAGATGTTTTACATTAATTTTCTTTCTTCTCTGATCTTTTTCATAGAGAAAATCTGAAACTATAATTTTCAGGGCTTCTAAAATTCCAATATAACATTATGTCTTTCTTGTACTCCTTAAAGAACAAGTGTCACATGAAGAGATGGAATGTCTGCATCCACAAATCAATATTCAGACAAAGACGATTAATATTTTCAACCTCGTACATCTCCACCAACAGTAAGCTGTCAATGACGGCAGTGACACGCCACATCAATAAAATAAACACATTACAATCCTTTTATTCCTTTCATTAAAAAAACGATTTTACGGCTGAGTTGCGAAAATGTCAGATTTCCCAGTGATAATATGTTATCCAAGATTTATGACAGGAATAATTCTGACTAGTTTATTTGATTGAGAGGCTATTTATGTCAGACAAATGCTGCCAATAGTTGTATCATAGAAGTTATCATGTCACAAATACAGAAACCCTGATAGTAATCTTGTTTTAAATATTTTAAATATGATATGACAAACCTTTCATTATAATTTAAAGTTATTTTTTAGTTTTCACAAACATTTCTGCAAAATTCAAATAAATATATTCATTTAATGTTTTGTACAGTACTACTCTTTTCCATTTCTATTTTTTGAAAAAATTTAATTTTAATACAACTTTCCTTTAAAAAATTAATTCATAACCTAATAACACAAAATACAACAAAGGTGTTACATGAACATCATGAACAGATTTATATATATAATAAGAACAATTAATCAGTTATCTTACAATTTACAGATAATGCATTCTTATAAAGGCCTAAAAGGTTTCATATTGAATATTTCTGCCTCATGTTTCAGAAATGCTGGACAAACTTCTTCTCTAAACTACAGATCTAGACAAGACTATGATAAACAATACACCAGGGAATAGTTTAATTTGTGTTAATCAAACATAATTAAAGGCTAAAATGATTTGCTAAGTCAACTTTAGCATTTAATTAAACTGAAAATTATTAAGTTAGTCAAAGTACCCCAGTGGGTGTTGACTTGTCCCACTGATGTTAGTCTCGACCTTCTGGCTATTTCATTTACAGAACTCAAACTTTATTTTTGGGCACTTTATTTCGCCAACTAGATGATCCATTTTTTTTTTCACTTTACCTGTCTGCCTGAAAAGTCAGTTTGCCCGTAAGTTATGAGGGGGGGGGGGGGGGGGGCGGGGGCAGACTGCCTTCCTGGATCATACACCTGTGACCCTGTATTCTGCATATTGTAGTTGCCTATTGACCTTTTGTAACTTTTTTTTTTACTTCAGTGTTTTCTTGATGTATATTGGCTGATGACACAGTAAAAATGCATCAATCAAGTACATATTGAAGTGCGATAGCTACAATGTCTACTGACTTTGTTTAAACACTTTGTCTATCGAGTACAGAAAGGCAACCTCTTCAAACCAAGAATCTGACAATCTAATTTCAACTGTACAGACTCTAGAGGCTCTATCTAATTTGATGGGAAGCAAAGTCAGATTAACAGTTTGTTTGGTCAGTTTATTGGTGATTACTAATCAGCTAGTGACCAACTGTCCTGTATAACAGAAGCTATAGTCTTTATTGTTCAGTTCATTGTATCTGTTTGTCCAGTGTTCAATATACAAGTATGTGTATAGCGGACAAATTATAATGAGATTAAATTTAAGGTCATTGTGTATCCATTTATTAAGCATTTGAAGCAATAAACTAAGGAGATGAAATATTTACAAATCCAGGCCTTATTAATGCAATACTAATTAAATAAATTAATGCTAAAAATTCTATAACAACTCCTGGGTGTTTTACTGTCATACAGTATTATGATCATTGCAGCAGTTTTTAAATTATACATTTACAGGTACATCATCATGTGAAGGGTCAGCATAATCCAGAAAGAGTACCAGCAGTGTTCAATTTATATTGTCAGTTCATATTTTGTAGATAGTTCACAAATTCTATCAATGTATAAGCCATTATTTTTAATTTTATTTCAAACTATATCATTTTTCATTTATTGATGGTCAAAAGTGCAGATATTGACAACAAAACATTCATATTTCCAATTACAAACACTAATGATATAAATCAAATCTCTAAAATAAAAACCACTAATCAAGACTAATTAATTCCCTTGTTACCATGTGAATTATAAAAACATGTGAGCCAATGGTGTATTGTCTCCATCATCCAGTTCATTATCTGTATTGTCTACTATGCAAAGAGTGTGAGCTGACTATAATATATAGAGTGGACATATGCTGACCAGTCGATTAAAAAATCAATACTGGAGATAATGAAAGTGTTAGGATGTGAAGAAAAGTCCTTACGCTATCCACGCGTTCACCTCTTGGGTACGTTAATATCAATACATCACCGGACTTGCTCCAACAATATAGCGACAAGCTGGACAAATGAAAACACTTGAGACATATTGGATTCGCATTATGAAAATCGATAAGACAGTAGTTATATTATAATGGTGTCTTGTGGGATTATTAAGACAGATACACGATTACCAACATCTGCATTTGTATAGTCTTTGTTTAACAATAGTTCAAGCATGAATGAATTCAATACTTGCTTCAAATAAATAAGCAAAGTCTAATCCTTCACCTGTCTTCATTAGCCCAGTCAGTGCAGAAATGTAGAATGTTAAACCCCATTTTATTTCATGTCTAATTCCTTCCTGTGTACCAATAATATCTCTAATTTAGTCTCCATGAACTGATAGCACACCAATTAATTATGGGCATTGTAAATTATGAAAGAAAGTATGGCAAATATTACTTCTATTCACACACAAATATAGCTTTCATGTCACTATTGGTTTTCCAAAGTAAATTTAGTTTTAATTGCAAATGGACACCTTATGCATTGGTTGGTATTAAATGGACACTGTGCATGCTGACTGGTATAAAATGTTTACCCTGTACACTGGTTAGTATAAAATGGACACCATATACACTGGTCGGTATAAAATGGACTCACTATATAGCAATGCACTGGTTGGTATAAAATGGACACCCTATACACAGGTTGTTATAAAATGGACACCCCATACACTGGTTGGAATAAAATGGACATACTATATAATGATTGGTATAAAAGCTTCAACTTATTTAAATCATTAAAAATAATGACTGAAAGATGCTTGGATAATCTTGATGAGTAAAACAAAAAAACAAGGTTGGTGCAATGTGACCTTGATGTTCATGAATAGAAAGATATCAGCAGCTGACCAATTACATTCCAAGAAAGGAAAAGATGTCACTGTGAAGTCCATAGACAGTAATGTGAACCTTAGATGACCACAATTTCAGACTGATTGATTTTCAGAATTCTTGAATCAGTATTTGCCTTTTGGTAAGACTGGATTTTAATGTGTATGTTCTGAAAGTCTATATTTGCCATTTAGTATAGAATATTGTTGCTGTTATTAAATATACAATTAATAACCATTATAAAATATATGAAGTATATATTATTGTCTACTTCAGACTACCTGTTCATGCAAGTATTGATTTTGTGCAACAATAGCAGAAATTTGGACTTTTTCAAATAACATGTATTTGATCAATGGGGCATAACTCTATTAATAAATGTTTTTCCTCTTGGGACACTTTTTACATTAAACAAATAGTCTTTTAAAAGAATCAGCCTACTACCATTCATGTCCGATTCATTAAAGATACATATATAATGTCAAAACCTTATAATTATGATATGTTTATCCATGTTATTAACAATGATATCAGAGGCCTTAACTATATGAACCTAAAAATACTACCTTAAAGGTACAAGATGGGGTCAATACAATATTTTGGTCAATTTGAGACAAACGTATGGTAATATTTATTTCTATGGGTTACTTATGCAATGTGAGGGGACATTGGCGTTAATGCTTACTCTACATTGATGTCCAATACATACTCTACAGGATTTAGTAACTTAGCCATTCAAATACCCCAGTCCCTAAAAATGAGAGTTGTGGGGCATGCAGACAAAAAGTAAATTACCTCAATATCTCCAGCTTGTCTGAGTAAGTGAGATCCGAGGGTATGTCTCCGTGGAACTTGTCTTCTACCGGGTCCATAACGAATTCTGTTTGGTTTAGCAGGAGTGTCTTCCAAGACACCAGGATCTGAACGGGCAGATGGTGAACGTGGGCATTCTTTGAACCCAACTTGATCATATGGTTGTTCCCTTTCTTCCTCACTCATTGCTTCTGTCAACTGATAATGATACATTTGTCGAACGTCTTCGTAATACTGTGGCTGACTGCTACTACTGCTACTTTGCTCAGTCCCTCCCAAAGCAGAAGGTGTAGGCGTACAATTATCTGCCCTTGAACTGTCTTCCCCACTACCATATGATATGTTTATTTCATATTTACTGTAATCGTAACTTATGACACTATCATTTAAGCTGGTGTCAATACTTTCCGACGACGTCTGCAAACTTTCACTGATGCTAGGAGTTGTCTCCCCTTTTGGATCAGAGTTTACTTCCTTGAGTTGATATGTGATTGGAGAGCTGTTATCACTCTTCTTCTTTGGTGAGGCCACTACTTCATATTGAGGTTCAGGACTTGGTGTAGTCTTTTTAGGAGAGCTAACTGGCATCAAAGTCGCATCTTCAACCTTTTCCACCTCCTCTTCAGGAGATTTTTTCAATTCTGGGATTGCTGAACCTTTTCTTGATTCTGCTGCTGAAAAGAGAAAAATAAATGGAATTTAGTAAATGACTGTAACTTTCCTTCAAGGTATCCTCTTATTCTGATTCTTCTGGTATAACTGACAGATATTTCTCTGTTGATCCAATCTGTACCAATACCTGTTTATCAGGACTTAAAATATGACAGTAATGAAAGTCTTTGGAACAAAGATTAATATATTTGTTCCAGGATCAAGCCCATAAGTGAAGGAGATCTAGAAACAGTAAGCTTCATTTGTGACACCTGTAGAAGTCACAACATAGAAACACCTATCACAATTAATCTTTTACAAAAAACTAATGTTAAAATGTTAAAGTTGAAACCTGTTGTTGTCATGATGTCTGGAAATCCATTGGCTATATATATATATAGGCAGTAAATCTATATATTGCACCATCTACACAAAGGTAAACATATATATTGTATTATAGTATAATATGTATCTACACTGGTTAAAGGTACATATTCAGTACTTATATACTTATCTATGAATATATAAGAGTAAAAGTTTCTCTCAATAAATGGTACAGACAATTTATCATACGGAACCACAGTTTAGAACAGAAGTAGTATGAGGATGTAAGGAGCCCTCAGAATTTTCTGTAATCTAATATTTAAATACTGTGGGCATATTGAGCTGAAGTAACAGAAACTTTCTGGATAATCATACCTTGTCATCACTAATAGGCTTCTAATATTTTGAGGATAGGGAAAAATACGCCTATATATATATAGTTAACAGTGGATTAATGAGATACATGTAGAAGGGCAATGCTTTCACGTCTGTGACCCTCAGAATCGTCCCTCGCCCCCCTTCAATTCTCAAGCCATTAGTTGTCTCTTACATCAAAATCTTTCCGTAGCCTTAATCTCTTAGATTTCACAATTAAAGGTCCAGATATTTGTAACTATGCCCCTTTAAACTGTACGATTTACCAATATAGATAAAACCTATAGCCTATATATACATATCTTATAATATGAATGAAGATAATACACAATGTAATCTTTAATAGATAACATACCAAATAGACAGAAACACTTTACTTTGTATAATAAAATACTTAAAAATCTATATGATAAAACAATTTATTGACATGGTTTACTTTCTGATACAAGGCTTTCACTGTAACACTGATCTTGGGGTCACAGGCCATATCTGTGTTATGTTAAAATCCATAATAATGCTATTTCCAATTAAAATGAAGGGTTACCCGATTTGTCCCTTGGTTGATTGTCAAACAGCTTGTGTTCCTAATGATTGATCTTGTTCTTGAACCAAATACAGTAACAACAAGCCCTCCCACTTATTGTTCTGAAGCTAGCTTCATTCTTGCCCCCTGTCACCTCTAAATATTGTTGAATCAGTGGAAACACCCAGACCTGGATTGGAACTAGCCTGAACCAAATTTCTGTCCTTGGTGGAAACACTTAGACCTAGCTGAATTGGAGCTAGCCTGAACTTATAACTACTGTCTTGTGTAGAAATGTTCAGACCTGTATTGGGGCTAACTTCTGTCCTTCTGGAAATGCTACTTAATTAATTCTGTTGGCAGCCATGCTGATCCCCACCCCCACAATACAGAAAAGTATGTTATCGTGAAAAATTATAGAGGATGAAGTCTCTCTCAGTATGTAGTATGTACAACTGAAATTGTTAGCTATGTGAACAACTACAAAAATGGTAAGTGGTATCAGGTGTTCTAGAAAGAGCAAGAATTTTTCGTTTCATGTACAACACCATGCAATACTACTTTTACAAGGACCAACAGTCTGAACTTGAGTTCAGAAGTTGAAGCTACATGGTAGATGGTACCTTTTGCAAGTTGTTATCAGAAATTAGTGACAGAGAATATATATAGAAGGAGTAGGAAGTGCATGAAATTGGCTGTTTTTGGTTGCTACATGGAGTATTTTTGGGGGCAGTTTTCAATACTTTTTTCTGAAAATGATTATTGCTGTGCATACCAATTTCAATAATAAATATCTCTGCCAATTTCATAGACAAAAGCATTTATTAGATATAAAGTCTTTTGACCCATGGATTTCATTTAGCAATAGCATCCTGTAATATACAGTTCGGAAGTACTTCTCAAATGTTTTACATAAATGTAATAGAATTGATAAAAATATTCACACCAAGGTTTTGATATGTGAATTATATGAACTAGTTTATTGAATGATTTGTTTGCAAATTTAGTTTAAGAAAACTGTACAATAAAACACAACTCATTGTAGTTTTTTTTTTCTGTTCTGTTACTTATGAGTACATCCTACACGTATACTACTAGATATATACAACAAATCATAATGAACAATTTGAAATGGGCTGCTGTAAGGCAGTGCCAGTGTTGTCGAAAGCATGCCAGAACAGAATAAAGAATATGAAGCTACCCACGCGTAGCTAACTCTAACCTCCGAGCGAAGTGGTCAGAATAGTTCAACTGGTTTGGCTTATAGTACGTGTGAACTCAACACGACCCTGTCTTAAAATTACCAGTGATTTTGAACTGGTTTAAAAATAAGCGTCTGAACGGTATAATAGTTTTATAGATTGTTACCCTAAATTTTTTTAGTAGAACCAATGCATTCAAGTTTAATGAGTAACGCAACCCCCCCCCCCCCCCAAAAAAAACCCCAAAACAGAATAACATTTAACAAATACACCACCACTGTCGAACCACTGCTAAAATCTGACTTGTTGTAGTCCATGACCTTCACTATTCTACTATAATGACATATTTTTGTGGAGATATAACCATACTGTGTTTCTTATTCTTAAGATGGTACATGCATTAAAAAAGAAATTAAGTTTGCCAGGTGGAAGTAAAGGCACCCAATCGTAGCTAAAAACAAGCACATCAGTATATCTCAACGTTTTTAGTTACGTTCTTGTAGCTATTAAAATTCATTTTCTGCCAAAAGGAGGTTTTCGCGTCTTGTAAGTGCAATAATTCAGAGAACTTTTATGACAGCTGAATACAGCATTTGATACATGTTAAAGACAAATGAAATGAAATAAAATGAAATGGGGTTTAACTGTTCTGCTCCGAGTGGGCTAAGAAGAGGGGCATACGCCATACAGTGTGCTATGAGAGAAATTTTGCCCAGACAGTGCTATGGCCTACTCATAACAAATTGCAACTGCGAAGGGTTCTTTTAAATGCATGCCAATATGTACATGGGACCTTCGTTTTTCGCATCATTCGAATGACTATACATTGTCCCTCACCAAGCCCTCCGTCCTGCACAACTGTCAAGGGCAGAACCACACCGGAAAATCCTGATGAACTTTCTCGATCAAAGCTGGGATCGAACATGGGACCTCCAGGTTACCAAGTCAACATCTTACTATCTGAGCCATCATGGCTCCCACAAGTGAAGGACAATTTACAGTTTTAGATTATGAGTGAAATTGTGTCTTGTAATACATTTTGTAGAGAAAGTAATTGAGATCTAAAAAAACCATCATAGTAAAGACAAACTGTATAACGAAAGCAGTTTGTGTCGTCTACAATTTGTTAAGAGACACCACCAATCTCCTAATAGAGATGTAAAATTTCTGATAATCAGAACAATGAAATTGAAACTTACCAAAGGGAAACTTATATCCAATTATAATAGAATGCCATGAATACAACAGATAATTATGCACCCTAATAGATGCCTCAATAAGTTTCCTTGCCGGGATGTGAATATTTGTATCAGACTGACCAGAACAATAAAATTGAGACTTACAGAAAGAAAAGTTAAATCCAATTATACTAGATGCCCATGCCTGCTGTAGACAGACAGTGATATCATCTAACTTAGCACTAAATAGAAGATTTAGTTGATGATGAACTGATGTTAAAACAATTCACCACCTACAACAACTCACTTTCTTGTAACTCATCAGAAACCACTTCACACCATACTGTCTACCTAATAATCTGTATCATTAACCCTTAATATACCAACTTTTCTCAAGTAGGCTACTATGCATTGTGACATTAACCAGAATTTGCAGCCGAACTACAATTAACTGAAGATTTATGGATGTGGGTTCTGTACCTGATTGATGGAGAGAGACACAAATACTGTACTTTAATAAATCTTAAGAACAATCCATAAAACCCATAACACAAAAGGCAAATCCAGTAAATAGTAAGTGGCAAAACTATCCTAACAATACCCAATATTAATGTAGTATTAGATGTCAATGGAAGAGTGAGTATACTCTGCCCCATGCACAACACCTATAAAATCTGAGAATGTGGTCAAGACTTAACCAACCTAGATTTCACTGGACATATATCTTGTTTATCATCTCTTAAAAATAGTTTTTGTCTACCAATAAGTAAATTTCAAACTTTTTGACTCCACCCCATCGCATTTTTCTGGTGGAAAGATAAGTTATTTATTGAACTGAACACCGCATTGGGCAGCATACGAAACATTTACATTACAATAAACTTTAATACATATTGTTATAGTATCTCAGTATGATGAATAATATAATGTTACGATTTAAAATGACTTCCCTTCCTTGATCTGATTCAAAAAGAAACTTATCGATTTCATGTTTTCATTTGTTGTGTTGCATGATAGTCTGTGTTCATTCAACCTTTTACATCTACATCTGTAGATCAAGCCCATGTTGAGATATAATCTGATCCACCCTCGAAACATTATACCATAAATAAGACTAGAATTAGTTAGCAAGATGATTTCCACTTCCAAAGAATGCAGTGTCTCAATATTTTAACACAACATAAGAAATTATCGTCTTTCGATTACCAGTATCCATGCATTTAACCATTAAGAAAAATAAGCACCTGTAGTAGGACACCAAGAGAAGGGGTACCACAGAATTTTTCCAGTGCTCGAAATCTATAGCAAAGAATTATATTTATTTATTTGTGCATGTAAGAAAGGATTGGGTGATAAATAATATCTCCTACTCGTCTTTTTTAATATAAACCAACGGCTGCCAGGCAGGATACGCCCACATT